ATGGGCTGAGCTTGGCTTAGGGTTGTGGATCCCCGGTGGCTGGGATGGCTCCAGCGAGGGAAGGCGGCTGTCACAGCTCCCTCGCCATGCAGGGCTGCCTCGGGGAGCCCCTTGCTGCTCCCTCTGCTCTTCCAGGGCGGAACAACCGGCCAAAACCACCTTGGTGCCTTTTCCAATTTACTCCCTGCAGCTGCAACATGCGCCGTACGGGACGAGGGAAGGGGGTTTCCTTACTGCTAATTAAAGTGAGCACCGAGCATATCTGTAGTGGGTGCTCTCTCCGTCTTTTGATGTGCATGGGTCCCCCCTGCCTGCAGCACTGTCCGAGGGTGTCCTGCAGCTCCCGGCCTTGCCCGCGGCCGTGTCCGCTCCATCCCCAAGCCATCTCCCCAGCACTGCTAGCTGGGGACAGTGTCCCTCCACGCCGGGACAGCTGGGACGAGCCGCCCTGCATCACTGTGGGTTTGGTTTCCATTCGGATGCTTTTGTGGCACGGGGATGCCTCCTTTCCCTGTGCGGGTCCTGTGCAGCTTTAATTCCAACTGATCTGAATTATCCCCCCGTAGGGATGGGGTTGGGCTGGAGTCACATCCTACCCTGAGGACCTTCAGTTTACGCAGAGCCTAATGAAATGCATCCTTCAGCAACATCTTGCAAGGAGAGACAGTGGAAAAGAGTGAAGATCCTTTTCTGAAGACCCTACGAGGCCAAGCCGTATTTAACCACAGTGCTGGTCCCAAGCCCCTGGTCAGCACAACTCAGCGGTGAAGCTGTGAACCTCGGGTGACCGGACACGGGGAAGCTGCTCCGCTGCCCCAGCCATGAATCTGGCTGCATTCAAACACCAGCTCGCTGCCGGCTTGCTGCCGGTTTGGAGCGGAGCAGCACCCGCCGGCCGCGGCCCGGGGTCTGCCTGCACAAAAGCAGCCGGAGAGGCTTTCTCTCTACCACGGGAAGGGCTGTCCTGGCAATTAAAAAAATCAGCTTCCCAAACCAGAAGTCATTATCGCCCCTCGGGCTGATCTGTCGCTCCTGGTCTGCTCTGCCTGTTTCGTGATAATGTCAAAACCGCAGCCCCCGAGGAAACCCCGTTGCTCCCTCGTGTCAGTGGTCTGCTCCCAGTCTTTCTGCTCTGCTAGTGTTTCCCGGAGGAGAAAACCCGCCTGCCTCAAGCGTGCCGGTGGTGAGCAGCTCTCCCAGGTGCTCAGGGAGGCGTCTGCTGCAGAAATGCCTCCGACACCGGCTGCAAGTGCTTGATAATGTCAAAACCGCAGCCCCCGAGGAAACCCCGTTGCTCCCTCGTGTCAGTGGTCTGCTCCCAGTCTTTCTGCTCTGCTAGTGTTTCCCGGAGGAGAAAACCCGCCTGCCTCAAGCGTGCCGGTGGTGAGCAGCTCTCCCAGGTGCTCAGGGAGGCGTCTGCTGCAGAAATGCCTCCGACACCGGCCACAAGTGCTGTTTGTTGTTAAAAACAGGGACCCTGGAGCCTGGATGTGAACTTCGGGCGTTTTGCCACAAAAAGCAAAGCAGCCGTCGTACGCTGTGCCCGGTTCCCGGGTCCCTGAGCCGCAGGGGACTCCTCTGCCGGGCTGCAGGCGTGCGGTCAGATGGGCAGGGGACCAAACCTGCACCTCTGCTCCCGAGGACCAGGCTGCTGCGCCCCCATCCCAGGCGGCACGATGCCGTGCAGCGACCCCTCCGTCATTAAAAAAAACCTACTCTGCTGTTTTGCCGTGACTTCTGGAGATTAAGTCACTCTGCCGATACGAGGTAAATGACAAGCAAGAATTCAGGGCGAAGCTGGAAACGGCCCCAGCGGATGCGAGGAAAAGTCCGTTTCGCCCGCTGCCTCGCCTCCGACAGCAGTCGCTGGCAAACGCGTAGGGAAGCACCTCGAGAGCAAGGCAGGTGCTTCCCCGGGAGGTTTCTACAGCCTTGCAGTTTTTGGGGATGTCTAACTGCCGTTTAGGGGATCGCTACCGGAGGTGTTACGCTTAAACCGCTGTGCCTTTTGGACACCCCCCTGGAAAGCAAGCGCTGATGTTCCCTGCCCGATGTGCTGCCCGGGGCCGCCCGTGCAGGCGAAGTCCCCGCCGGGTGGTGGCTGCGTCAGGCCGCCCCAAACCACCGCCAGCCGTAGCAAGCATCCCTCTAGCGAAGGGAAGAAGACATGCGACTTACTGTCCAGGTGGCTGACTTGGCGGTGCTGGACTGCTGGAAGGTCACCTCGAAGTGGTGGGGACCGGGGTAGTCGGTGTTGGAGGGGATGACAGGAGCTGGGGACATGGCGTCGAAGGTGGAGCTGGGCTGCGAGTAGGGCGAATGCGTTGGGACATTGGAGGTGTGCTCGGAGCTGTAGGGGCTGGTGGAGGCTGCTCGGCTGCCGATGCTCTGATCCATGCTGTTGTTCAGCAAATTGAACTGGGACTGGAGGAAGGGAAAAGGGGAGGAGGGAAAAAAGAAAACACCAGCCAGTTTAGAGATGGAAACCTCAGCCAGGCTTCCCCGGGCTCCGGGTGTCCTGTTACAGCCTCCTTAAAGGGCCAGCGTGCGGGAAAGCCGGCCAAAATTGCTGCCCTGGGTCGCTTGGGGTTTGGAACAGGTCACCGCTTGCGCGAGGGATAACCCCAGTCCTCCTAGATCACCCCCGGCCACCCGCCCCGGCCGCGCTGGAGGCAGCGCGGTGCCGAGATCCCCGGATTCCTAGCGCTCCCGGCTGCGCAAAGCCGCTCTTTTGCCGGCGGGGGACGGGGCAGGGGTTTTCTGGGGTTTGCTCGGGCGCG